AAGTTGCAAAATGCCGGATCTCAGCAGCTTGAATTGTTGTTTCTCAGCAGATGATTCTTTATAAGCAAACAGGCGTGCCTGAAAAGAGAAGGGATTGGAGGATTTTCCAACTTCAGCTCAGTGGAACAAAACTTTTAGGGCAGTTTTAATATCTAACTGAAATCTAAGCTTGAGCCGTTGCAGCTTGTTTAGGGACCCATAGACAGGAGTAAGAGGGTCTTTTGTTTTCTGCAGCCTCTACTAGGGCCAGATTTTAATCACAATTACCATCTGGGTTTTGAACAATAACAAAACGAGCTGATTATTTGTTCTCCCTCATGTGCTGCTCTGAGTTTGCAAATCAAGCGCATCTCCCACAGTGTTACCAAATGTGTCGCTTTTCATATCCCCCTTTTTGACTTTTTATCCTAAAAGCACACAGCGAATAACGTGGTAACATTTCTGATAACTAGCTACTTTGTCATCGATATTCCCGCTGGTTACAAACCATCAGGAGAGGTAAACAAGTTCACATGTGGCGGTGTATGTCGTCTGACTAATCATTCTCTGCGGATCTCACTCATTAAAACACTTTTTTTGCGAGCTAAATAAATTCGAGACATAGCGAGTCGTATCTGAAGTGGATTTATATTTTATCAGGGCTGCAAATTCTCTCACGATAGGTGTGAGACACACATTTGACATTTGTCTTCATGTGCTCTCACACCACACCTCCAGTTTCTCACACAGATAAGTAATAGTAGTTCATCTTTCTAAGCGTCACATTGCATCGTGCTGCTGTGCACACACACACACACACACCTACGGCTCCGCTGACAGGACTAAATAATTATTATGTAGCAGGTTGTGAAAGTTCATTACAACAGAGATATTTATATTTTTATTACAGATGTTTGCACTATGTGGCTCTTTTGTGTCAGCATTTTCTTTTATTAAAATAGGTCTGTATTGCGTAGGCTTAAGTCAAACTTTCATAGCCTTTTGGTTATGAACTCTATTATTTCCATTAACGCTTTACAATATTTTCAGAGTAAAAGTCAAAATTTGCAGCTAAAACAGTAAAATGCATGAATGCAGTCAGAAACAGGTTTGATGATTTATTTTTTCGTGTGGAAATAATATCAGATGGTAAAAAGCTCCAAAAAGTATTTTTTCCATATGTCCTCTTTAACAACGGGGTTGTTGGTTTAGTGTCGAGGCAACAGCAGAGAACGTCTCCGCTAGTAGAAGCTAAGCATCAGCAAGTTCACCACACAGCAGAACTGCTCCAGGCTTCAGTTATTTGTGGACATAAAACACCAACGTTGCAAGTCAGTGGTAGAGTCGCGTTGTTAGATCTGAGATGTTCAAATATCAGGAAATAAGACTCCAAATTCTGTTGTGTTCAGATCAGCTGTGATCTGGCACACTTCTAGTTCCTGATATAATTGTAAAAAGGTGTGTTTCAGCTCGTTGCGTGGCTAGAGGTGTATATTCATGGAGAGGCAGTGCTTCCAGTCCTAAGCAGGGACTTAAGGTGCAATATATATTTTCTGCCTCTAGATGGTGCCCTTTAAGAAAAACTGATTTTTGCTTTAAGTTTTTTCTTTAACTCTGAACTAATTTAACTTTGACCAATATTTTTTATGTTTTTGGTGGAGAAAGGACAGAATTAACAGCCTTTAGGAGTAGTGTTGATCTTGAACAAAATTTTTTTTTATCAATCTGAAGATTGTTTTTTATATTTTCCTGCACCTTGAGGTCAGTCTGGACTCCGGTCAGCCTTGCAGCAAAGTGCTCGATTAAAAAGTATTTTTTCCTTATGGATTTCTTCCATTTTTGCTGTTTTTCACTCTTAAATATTTCAGATCACCAAACAATCATAACCCGAGTAAATGCAAAGTGAGGTTTTCTGATATTATTAAAGTCTACCTGAACCAGCCCGGTCCAGTGTGAATGATGAATAAATCTCTCATATCACTGTGGAGGAATCTTCCCCCATTCCTTTTTACAGAAATGGTTTATTTCAGCCACATTAGAGCACCTTTTCAGCACTTGTTTAAGGTCAAAAGTCAGACATTCTCATTTTCTGCTAGAAAGCAGAATTCCTGCTCCCATCAGTTACAGCAAGTGGTCCAGGTCCTGGAGCAGCCCAGACCATCACACTACCACCACCGTGTTTGATTGTTGGTGTAATGTTTTTTGACATGCTGTTGGTTGGAACCGAACAGAAACCTTCCAGAAAGGGCTTTTTCACATGCGTTTTTTTTTTTATGAATTAAAACTTCTTTTAAGAAACTGCATTTAATTTTCATTAGTTATCTTTGTCTAATAATATAAGCTAACTAATCCAAAATACACCACTCAAAAAAACAAATTAATAATGGGAACAACACAATGCAACTCGAAGTCGATCACACTTGTGTGAAATCAAGTTTCACATGCTGATGTGCAAATGGAATAGGCAATTAACAAGACACTCCCAATAAAGGAGATGTTCTGCAGGTGGTGACCACAGACCGCTGCTCTGTTCCTTTGGCTGATTCTTTGGTCACTGTTGAATGCTGGTGGTTTTTTCAGAGTTTACAACCTGTGGTTCAGGTAGTGCAGCTCATCCAGGATAGCACGTCACTGAGAGCTGTGGCAAGGCGGTTTGCTTTTTCTGTCACATCCTGTGCATGGAGGCACTGCCAGGAGACAGGCCAGCACAACACAGACGAGGAGGCCGTAGGATGGCAACAACCCAGCAGTAGAACCGCTACTTCTGCCTTTGTGCAAGGAGGCACAGAAGGAGCACAGCCAGAGCTCTGCATGATGACCTTCAGCGGGCCACAAATATGCATGTGTCTGCTCAACGGTCAGAAACAGACTCCACGAGGTGGTATGAGGGTACGACGTCCATAGGTGGGGGTTGTGATTACAGCCCAACACTAATAAGATTATTTCATTCAGATCTGGGACGTCTTATTTTTTGAGCAGTGTGCTTAGTGTGAACAATTCACAGCACAACAAACATCAGATGATGTCATTGATCATGTGACGTTATTTTTCAGGTAAAGAGGAGACCGACGAAGGTGAAATCAGGACTGTGGAGAAGGGGCCAGAATTTTCCTCATATTCCTGCCTCTACACACCAAGCTCCTGACTCTTAAAGCTTTCTTGGAAATATTATGGACCTTTCTTAAAATAGACAATATACAAACACACACATACACACACACACACACTAGGTTTGAACATCTTGTAGTCATCGATTGAAGCTCTGTACGTAGGTCTTCAGATTTTTCCCCCTTTGTGTTTGTTGCTCTTTGCTTTTGTGGAGCCATTTTTAAGACAAGAAAAATCAAGATGGACATTTTACAAGAATTTTAATCTGATAATAATTGTTGCCTACTAAATTTCCTGGGAAAACTCCCCTCACCGAGTCTCCACGTCTTCCTCCTTGTGTCTGCAGCACGTTTCCTCCCAGCTCACTAGTTTCGGTTGTAAATACACACGCGTGACATTCCAGGTCAAGCTTTCTAAACCTCACGATTGCAGCGAATCACAGAAATAACGGGACACCGAGGCCTGCTAGAGTGCTTCCTACAACCTTTAGGTTCACTCCCAACTGATCAGTTTGTTTTCTAACACAAATACTCCTCTGTGAAATGGTTTACTATAAAGTATGTGAGTGGAGATTTGTTCCTATTTTTTATTAAATACGTTTTTTTTTTTTGTACTTTGTCACTTTTCCTTTGGGTGAGTCCTACTTTTGTGCTCTGAAGTGGAGCCCTCTGCAGGTCGTGATGACTTATTTTTCTGTAGTAAGTATGCCTTTTAACATATTTAATTTTTTTCTCCAAATAAAAGCTTTTAGATGTCCCCATCTCCATTTCCACATGCAGCCTTCAGAAACACCAAAAGTTTTTACTTTTCATTTTTTTTAATCAAAGAAAACATGTCACTGTCACAATAAATAACCATGCTTTTTGAACCGCTGATGATTGCTTCCAAAAAACAAAACGGAAACAAGCCTCTATCCAAATAGCGATGCAACAGCCTCTTGCTCTATTATGTAAATACTTAAGTCGTCGTGCAGCATCGTACATGGTGAGAACAGCAGGAAGACGGGGTGGAAGAGGCTTCTGTTTGTGTTTTCTTTCAAAAACAAAATAATCCGCTGCAGTTGGTGCACTCGTGCGATTACATCATGGCTCTAGATTCAAAACCAAACCCAAGTTATTTACAAGAAGGCTGCCTTCGGTTTGGGGCTCCGACGGGGAGCTTGTTCTGGTCCAGCTTTTGTTTTTGGCTCCGTAGCACATTGACCACCAGTTCTCTCGTATTTATGACAAATGTTCTGATCAGCTGGTGCTGAATGTAATTGTGGTTTAATTTCTTAATTTGGAGGGAAAATTTTTAACCTGTCTGAAAAGAAATAAAGCACTTCAAACAATAATGTTATAACACTCAGTCCCTGCTGAGGTGTAACACTTACATGTTCCAGAAAGCAGCTTGTAAGTTAAAAATAGAAAAGTTCATTTTCCACAGATAAAACTCCAAACAGGCAGCTTTCTGAACAGAGGTGTACAGAAACTAATTCAACCTAACACCCAGTACACCGTTTAGCCAAATAAATTAAGGCAACAGACCATGCAGCTATTAAAGAAAATCATTTCCACAAATCTGCGTTGGCATTACGGGCAGAAGCTTTAACACAATCCCAGAAGATGGAGGTGTAGGCGGGAAAGAACCAAACTGATCAGAGCACCTCGTCATCGATCTCAGAACATCGCTCCATGGGATTGTAAAGTAGGCGTAGCATCTATTCAAAATAACCAGTTTTACAACGTCATCCATGTAATAAAAAAGAACATTAGTGTTATAGTTTAAATTTACACTCATCTATTTACAGGAAACTTGTGCACGGCAACCCTGGAGGATGTGGCTGATCTTTACAGACGAGTTTAAAAAAATATTCCAAACTTGTGTTGTGGATGGAAACACGATGGCACATCGGGAACACCACTGCTCATGCACCGTGCTATCCAGTCAAGTCTGTTTAACGCTGCAAGACTTTTACAGTCAAAGTCTGGAGGAGAGGACAGCAGTTACACTTTACCCCGCAAGAACCAACCATGGCAGCCGTTTAGAGTAAAACCACAGAGCGTCCAGATGAATGAAAGTTTTCCTGCTTAGCTTTTTTCTTTACAAGAGCACGGATTAAGTCGAGAGGAAGGAGCGCCTCGGTGTAATGATGGGATCAGACAGGCAACAGGGTGGTGAGCATGTCGGCAACGGGCGTGTGTGTGTGTGTGTGTGTGTGTGTGTGTGTGTGTGTGTGTGTGTGTGTTGCTACTGGTGTTGACTTTGTAGCTAACTGATTGAATAACGGAAGGCTCAGGCTGCTGTGTTGAACATGAAGAGGTGCTCTCTGCTTCATGAAATGCAACGCTGGAATGGTGCCGGGAAGCAGCTGGTGCTGTGGTGGACATGATGGATCTCAGTTGCTGAGCAGCAGTTCTGTCGCCGTTTCCACATCCCAGGATTTCGAAGACAAGGCTGCTATTACTGCATTCTGAAAAGGAGAGAATTCTCTGTCATTCGTTCAGTTTGATGCTTACGTTCTTAAATAACATCTCAATAGAGTTAGATTCCTAAAACAAGCTGTTAAATATGGCTTCCAACTACGGATGTCAAAATTAGGAAAATATAACACCTTTTACTCTTTTGAATAATGATTTGACAATGAAAATTAGGAGTTCTACAGATTTATGTCAATCTCTACACATGTACAGGTCCACTACACATTTATGGGTCAAATGTACTGTTTCCTAAAGATCCAGATGACAACGTTGTTTACTCCAAACACGAAGGTGTGGAACACTGAAAGAGAATTTTTAAAGTCTCATTTCTGATTCTAATTGGTTATCCTCAGTTTTTCATGCAGGCTGAACATGAAAATAGTCTCCTACACCTATCTCCTTCATTCGCTTCTAATAGAAAACAGTGAATTTGTGGGATTCAGTCACACTGTCACTTAACATTCATGGACTCACCCATTTTGAATCGCAAAGGGGAATGCTGTTGTTGGTTTAGCGTCTGGGAATTAGCAGAGAACATCTTTGGTATGTTCTTACTGTGTCTAGTCTCTTAATTCCATTTTTGGTTCTTTTTAAAACAGGAAAGGTTTCTCTACCTTGCTGTCCGTTTATCCGTGGGCAGCAGAGGACGTTGTCGCCCTCTGCTAGCCGCTCTCCCCTCTCCAATGATGCAGTCCCATGCACGATCCAACGAGTAAACTCCATCGTCTCTGTTCATGGTCCCACATCCACGTCTCCTTATCTCTATAGCTTCTTTTATCCATCTTTTGTATTTCTGTCGTTCGGTGTTTATGATCCTTGTGTTGTCCCAGTCCATTACATGGTTTTCTCTTGTGCAGTGATCTGTTACGGCTGACTTCTTTATTGTACTTTCTGCTTCTTGTTTTGCTGCTCTTGTGTGTTTTCCACTTGTTTCTGTCTCACACTCCTTTCTGTGTTCTATTGGTCGTGTGTTGAGTTGGCGTCCGGTTTCTCCTACGTATGTTTTATTGCAGAGTTTAAATGGGATTTCGTAAACAACTCCACATTTAACTCCAGCTGGTTTCTTGTCTTTTGGGTGTACTAGTCTGTTTCTAACTGTTGTGTATGGTTTTGTTTGTGTGTTTATGTTGTGTTTTTTCATTGTTGCTCTTATTTTTTCCGTTATGCCTCTGATGTATGGTAGGGTTATCACTGGTTTTGGTTCTTGTCTTTCTGGGTTTCTGGTTCTTTGGTTGTTCTTTTCTTTCTGTTGTGGTTTGTTGTTTTCCTTCGTTTATTGCCATGTCGGTACCCGACACCAACTCAACACACGAACATAGAAAGGAGCGAGAGAGAGAAACAAGTGGAAAACACACAAGAGCAGCAAAACAAGAAGCAGAAAGCACAATAAAGAAGTCAGCCGTAACAGATCACTGCACAAGAGAAAACCATATAATGGACTGGGACAACACAAGGATCATAAACACCGAACAACAGAAATACAAAAGATGGATAAAAGAAGCAATAGAGATAAGGAGACGTGGATGTGGGACCATGAACAGAGACGATGGAGTTTACTCGTTGGATCGTGCATGGGACTGCATCATCGGAGAGGGGAGAGCGGGCAGCAGAGGGCGACAACGTCCTCTGCTGCCCGCGGATAAACGGAGTAGGAAGTGACACCACCATCAGCGTCAGCTCTGAGGAAGTTTTGCAGTCGGCAAATGTATTATTCCTACTAGAGACTACTGCAAATGTATTGAATAAACGAGTGTTCCACACCTTTAAGTTTCACAGTGGTTCAACCAAAACTGAACAGTGGTTCTAACCTTATCAAAGCCCATGGCACAGAGTTTGTCTATTTTTCGTGTGTAGTCGGGACTGGAGACAGCAGCGCCTCCATAGACGTGCGACCACAGCCGTGCTGTCTGTTTGAACATCTCTGGATTTTGTTTGTACTGGAAATTCAAACCAGAAAACACTGACTGCAACATTATACCTTACAAAAACAACAATTATTATTGATATTATTTTGAACCATAATTTTGAACCATAATTACCAAAAGGGTAAATCTACCCAAAATTAAACATTAACCCTGGAAGTCGGGCCCACCTGATTTGCTACTACTGCATCCTGTGGATCATCTGGTTCTGCTGCAGCAAGAAGGGCCTGTAGAGACAGCAGCACCGTCCTGAGGGTCATCGCAGCTGCCCTGGGTGAGACAGGTGAGATGTCGGAGTAGATACACAAGACAGTTGACCACTGAAGCCCAGAGATCACCAAGCTTTCACCCTCCACACTCACCACTGGTCCTTTAAAATGTCCAGACATATTGCTCCGGTCACTGAACTGATGTTAGGATGCCAGATCTTGGTAATAAAACGCACCTGAAGCAAGTGAGCAAGAAAAGATTATTTAGCATATATGTTTTAAAAGAAACAGAAAACCAGTCATTTTCATCAGCATGACATACGTAACATCTTACACTTCATTTACATCTGTACCTACAATAATGTTAAATGTTCTGTTGTCACACTTGTTTTTCCTGCTGAGCCGCTGCAAACGGATAACTACCTCATTAGATCTCATATGTGAACAATAAAAACATTCTCAGATCAGTACTCATGGATGCAAACTGAGGACATTCAGGAAGCTACAACAGATATGAGTAGTTATTTATAAAGTTTAAACACAAAACAGCCAAAATGGATTCCCTAAACACATTTTTGTCACTGAATGGCTCCAACTTAGGTAGTTGCATCACCGCTGATTCAAAGGTGAGTGACCAGAAAATGTCTCCCAACTCAGCATTTCAAGAATTTGCTTCCACTAGTCATCTGATGTTTGATTCAAACAAGTAATAAGGGCATAAGACAGACTCACTATTGCAGAGGGACATTTACCTTTGGTGGGTTAAAAGGGTATGTTTCTGGGATTTTTATTTCAAGTTGATATCTGCCACCTTGGAGAGAGACCACACAAAAAGAAACGTTGAGAGTAAATGAATGAAATGATCTGAGTGTTGTGTAGGAGAGAGATGGTACCTTCGTACGGCGTGTCTGGAGGTCCTGCTATCTCCCCCCTCAGCTCTGTGAAGTTCTCATCCACTAAATCAACTTTAATCTGGTTTTTACTTGTCTGAGGATTGGGACAAAAACAGGGACACCAAAAGCATTTTTTACCATCCCTAGTTCCCATTTACATGTGAAAGGTGGTTAAATGCGGAAACTGTAATGTTCGTTTGATTGGTCCATTTATAGCAGTTACAGTAAAACCAGGACGTCTACATTAGCAAAGCAGACCACTAGCTGCTAGAGCACAGCGAGACACCGTTGTCTACAGATGATCTAAAACACACCTTAAAAGGCAAAATAAAGACGGTTTATAAAGAACCGGGAACAATAATTTCAAACAGATTAGGTTTATCGACGTTTACGTTTCAACACAACATGCTAATGCTAACTAGATGAGATGTCATAACACCGTTTCCCCAGCTAGTCAAAAGCTGCTGCGTAGAAATGACAATATTAGTGAATACAGAAAGAACAATGGTGGCTACTTTTCATACGAGGCTTGTTACATTTTTCTAAAAAAGTATGTGGTGTTGTTGTTGGTCACATTGGGCCTGTCGGGTGATAGAGCTCAATCCCCGGTGTTTCCTGAACACACACCCCTGGCACAGCAGGAGAGCTCCGGGCATTTGTGAGGCTAAAGCTAGCTAAAGTTCTGACTGCTAGGGCCTGACCTGCTGCTGCATTACAGACTTCAGGTTATTTTGTTTCCCATAATTGTTGCTGTCACAGTAAGAGTTTATCACGATCTAAACCAAATACAACCCAGATAGTGTAAGAACAAACTGTGGTAGAGACTCACCTCTTCGCTCTTGAGAACTTCTTTAAACTCTCGCTTAATCCTTTGGACTGCGATGTTAGCCATGGCTGGGTCTGTCTGTGGAGCTAGTGCTGCCTCTGAGGTAAGTAGACCCGGTGTTCTGAGAAAACGTCCTACTTTGGCAAAACGTCCTACCTGTGGGCTAATTTTACGGTCTGGGCTCCACTCACGGTGGCGCGCGCGCGTGTATGTGTTTGAACACAGCAACAGGTGAATTAACCTAAAAAATTACATTTTAAATAAAATTTGGAATAACATTTTAAATAACTGAAATGTACTGTTCTGAAATATTTGTGTTTGTAAAATCAAGTTAAATGTTTTGGATACATGCTGCTTTTTAATGAAAATGAATAAAGGAGCTATGCAACACATCACCACAGGCTAAACTCTCCCAGAGTTGTCACAAGGACCAATTTGGTGTGCCACCCCAAAAAACTGTTTGGCCCCATCTGGCCACCCCTATCAAAATTTTCTGGAGGTGCCCCTGGCTTCAGTGCAGTCCATTACACACTGGGAGAGTCTTGGCCATGAAACGGCTTCCTCTCTTAACTCGCGAGATCACAAAATCCCTCAAGACTTCAAAAGTCACGTTTTTTTTAATGCAATCTGCTATTAAACAAAAGAGAAGGAAATCGTGTTTTGCTGTTTGATGTCATATTTGATTATCCTCTCCACTGCCAGGATTAAAGCCCTGGAAAAAACACGGCTACCATTCTAGAACGATGCATGGAGCCGCAAAAACTCTGTGCAGCCCGGTATCAAATGACCCAAGGACCAGTACCGGTCCATGGCCCGGGGATTGGGGACCTCTGATCTAAAAGAACAATCCTGGGGTGACTAAGTTATAGAAAGTTAAAGCTGTTGATTTATCTTCTGTAGGCTTTCATTTAGTGAGCAGCTGTGATTAGCAGCAACACCTACAGATGATCAGACCTGCTGCATCAGTGCCACGACCTGGTGAAACAGCTAACTAGGATGAGCATCGGTCAGAATTACTGCCTAAAAGTAACTTCAGGGTAGTTTCATTTTGCGTTTCATGGCGATGACGTAGATGTTTCAAAAACCAAAACTGTTGGGACACTTTTCTTTAAATGATTCTAAGAAGTTAACTTTAATGACCTGCTGCTCACCTGAAGTGTTAATAGATTCATAGTAGATGTCTGGAGAAATGTCCAGTCTCCCTAATGAATGATGAAACAACTATCTATTAGGTGTTTTATCACCGTGTGTGTGTGTGTGTGTGTGTGTGTAGCGAGTTAAACTTATCATGTTTTAGGGACAACAGAACGTTTTATGAAGTTTAGAGGTGAAGAGTGAAGCTGTTTACACACACAACCACAGAAGTTCTGCTGTGAAAAGTAGTTTTACATTCAGGGATTTACACAGCTGACACGTTTTATTTAAGTAAAAAGTTTGTGTGAAGAATATAATTTTTATCTTCTCATGTGGATAAATGTAAAAATGTGTTTATTGCCTTTTTGTCACCTGTGCTCTGATTTTCTCTGTAGGACTGCAGGTGTCCAGGGTCAGGACAGTCTTTACCTGTTGGTCCTCCTGGGAGAGAGGCCTTCTACTGTAATCATGTTAATGTTATTTAGCTGTTTGATATTTGAACACGTTTATTAAAACAAATACTAACTGATAACTCTTTCTGGTCATTGATTTTATCACCAATTTTATTAATTACAGATGCTTTTGAACATGTTACATGAACAGAAAATGAAAAGATGGTAAGGAGACAAGATTATTTATAATAGGTTACACTTATTTACAGATCAAAACCAGTATGGACCAGTTTTGTACGGTTAAAGCAGGATTAACCTGAGTGACTCTTCCTGGATCATTTATTTAAACTGAGTGAGCAGGAAGTCTTTAACAGTGCAGCTGGATCTGCTGCAGGAGGATCCAGACGTGGATGGAGGGCTGGAGCAGACCCGTGGCTGGACGTTTCTGGCCAGAGGAACATCATACAGGGCGGTCTGCAGAGAGAGCTTTGGGACGCTTCCTCTCACTGTCCACTCCATCGTCCATCTACAGGGACCGCTGGGCTGGCTCAGACGACGGCTGTTACATCTCTAAGATGTATTCAGAAATATGAAATGAGGAGATGGTTTATGGATCCACTGGTATAACAATTGTGACTCTTCAGCAAATTAAACCACAGTGTTGTTTTTAATAAAGGTTCCTACATAAATGACTTGCCTGTTAACAGTAGTGGTGGTCTGCTGGGACCTCCTCCAGGACAGAGCGCCACTGACCTCCTCCACACACATCTTCCTCAGGCCCATCCTCCAGGCCTAAAACTTCACCAGCACAGATGCAGATGTGCAGCACGGTGCATGCTGAATGCCTGTAATAGATTAAAAGAGTTTTTTTTTGAAAAATGTAAAACAAAACATATAACCTGCAGTACACTGGTTCTGTTCAGTTTAAAGAAAAGCAGCAGGGAATAGTTAAAAACTACAGAGAATTTACATTTTAATACAGATCTAATCATTAGGCTTAAGTTGAATAAACAAATGCACATTGAAAACACTATTTTATTAATAAGCCTGTTTTTAAAGCATTTTACCCCCATTTGATGCAAAATAAGAAGTTCTAAGGTCCAATTTACATTAGAAAACATCCGACTGCATTTAACATTTCTAATGGATTTGGTTTATATTAATTACCTCTGTACACTGTGTTGTGTATGTTTAACAAGTTCATTCTGTAGCTTAAAACATACACGAAACGATCTAAAGTTAACATGTAAGTCCTGAAGACTTTTAGAATAAAAAAAAATTACTTTACCGGAAAACGTTTGTGAACAAACGCTGCTGATGGACGTGAAGCTGCTGTAGCTCCTTAATATTCCTGCTCGATTTTCGCTAGCTTTAGCATTTTTCCTTTTGCGCGTAGCTGCCGCCACGGCTGAGACGGGACCTACAGGCCACCGTAGAGGTGAAGGCCGCAGCGCTGCCCGACGAGCGGTGGCGCCGCCATCTTGGATTGGTCAAGACCCCGCGGTTCGACAGTGAAACATCTTGGCAGCGTTTACTCTTTGACGCTTACAGTGCTCTGCGACCTGCCTACGTGGCGGGGCGGAAGACGCTGTGCTGGCTGGTACTGAACGGGTGAGCTGTGCTCTTTCTGGAAAACAAAATCATCTGAGGTTTACAACTTTCCGTGTTCGTTTAAACTACAGCGCTAAAAAGCTGCAACTAAACAAACTAAAATAATGTAGTGACTTAAGTAAAGTACTGGAAATGCGATGGCGTAACTTGTCATGAGGAATTCTTGATTTATTGGCTTATAGACACAAAATAACAATGGTGTTTTCTGTTGGTCTCTAAGTTTTCACTCCTTTGTTCTGCTGCTATTATAGTGTTTCTGAACGGGATTAAAATGAAGCAGATTTATTTTAAAAAGACATCTGTAGAAAATTATCTATGGAAAAGTTTACTGCTCTATACCGATTGGATTTTTTTTAAATTTGTGCTTGAAGGGAAAATTGTTAATCTGTGTTCACCATCCGAAAAAAATGTGTGTTTATTTAAAAAATAAACTTTAAAATAATGAAATTCAACTCTACACATTTATATAGTATATTTTTCATAGCATGTTGTGCATACACACAATTTAAGATAAGGCTTTACTGATTTTGTCTTTTGACATTTAGTTAAATAACTTATTCCTGCCTGTAAACAAACAAAACTAACTCAAATCAAAGAGGGTGACATTATGTCTTATGAATGTATTTGCAGAAAGTGACCACAAGGTGGCGACATTGTTTATCCATTTTAATCAGTGTTTCCTTTTATATTTTAGACACAAAAGGGTTCTGTAGGATGATCGTCTCAGGGCAGGATGTTTTTATTTAGGTTGTTCTGCAAACAATACAATGATTAAAATGTAATGAGTTCTTTACATCCCCTCTCAAACATTTAGCTCACAGTATGGTTACGTTTTATTTTAACCACCATGGTAATGTGAGAAAAGTTGCTAACTGTTTTTATGCACATGAATTGATCTGCATTTTTGATGGTATTTAATCTGGGCTGAAGGACTGGCTGTGTTTTCCAGTTCACTTATTTAGTCTAAAGGAGAATATATTACTTGTTTTTGCTTCTCAAGGGATTTAAATGTCCTGCTTTGGGACATTGAGAAAGATCCGTTATAGCTCATGCTTGCTTAGCGGGTCCATCCTGTTTCAGATCACCATGTCCCAGGCTTCCCGCTCTGATGCAGAGCCCTGCACTGACAGCAGGACTCCATCTGATCTGGGTCTCTGTCAGGATGTCCCAGTGTCCTCTGAGCACCCGTCCCCTTCACCAAAGCCTCCTCTCATCCCCACGATTGTTGAACTTCCGTTGTCCGCTGAGCAGACAGCAGAAGAGGATACGAGCGCCAAACCTGACCCATCAGAGGATCGGCCGCAGCCCCCTGCTGAAAATCAGCTGACTGAATGTGACCAACCAGTGAGCCTGGAGCCAGAGGCCGACGGGTCAAAAGAGGAGGTGAATGTTTGCTTTTTGTTAGTGTTTCTTAAGTCGGTGACCTCTAGCCCCTCAGGTAAAATATTTTTTTAAATCAGTGTTTTAAGGGCAAAGATTTAAAATTCATACACAAGTTTCTGTAAGACCTGGTTTATCTACAACTGACACACCCACAATATTCCCTCTGTGCATCCGTTGATTACTGACCTGGGGATCTAGCTGCACACTAACACATCAGACTGCTCTCATACCAAACGCTGAGCTCAGATCAGCTGTTTATTCATCTCTTTTGCTGGATCAATAAAGTTAATAAAGCCAGTGAATCCTATTGGATAGGGGTGTTTGCTCATTATGACTTTAACTGACTAATGTTCACTCAGGAGGAGAAGAAGAGAACCCGCTGTGTTCTCTTAGCCTCCAGACTTCCACTTGGACATTACTGATGTCTAAACGAGGGAAGTCTGAAAGCTTTTGTTCATTCAGACAGTGTTTTTGATCAAAAATGTTCTATTTTTACTATTTATAAACTAAACAAGTGTCTCTCAATAAAAACCTGTTAGCATCTCTGCATTATAAACATAGTAAGTGACTTATTTAAATGTCCCTGTGTGGACAGATGTCTCTCCAGCAGAAAAGCTGGGGAGGTTGGAGTTCATGGGGGAAATCTCTCCTGAGCAGTGCCACCTCCACCGTTGGTACGACTCCTATTTTAACTTGTAATACCTCATTTTATTACTGTCCCCCTCCACACACTCATCCACCATGTCTTTGACTTTCTGCGTGCAGGGCAGAGTCTGACCTCTGTTAAGGTCAAGGCAGGAGAGGCTCTTCGTCTCCACAAGGCCTCGGTAGGTGAGGAGGCTCAGGAGGTGGAGGAGGAGGAGGGCGATGGAGGTGGAGCAGAACAGGAGGATGGGGGAGAAGGTGGCCATGTTGACCTGTCCAACTCAGAGGAGTGTTCAACATCAGGTGCTGCTCCTGCTGCAGCTTCAAGCAGAGGCGTCTTCTCTACAATCACAAATGCAATGCAGAACACTGTGAGCACACACACACACACACACACACACACACACACACACACACACACACACACACACACACACACACACACACACACATTTAGCATGATGGAAGTTCAGAACTAAGCGGTGTGATCTTTCGTGTTGTGCTTTTCCTGCCTCTACAGGGTAAGTCGGTAATCAGTGGAGGTCTGGATGCTTTGGAGTTCATTGGAAAGAAGACCATGACTGTTCTCGCAGAAAGTGACCCTGGGTTTAAAAAGACTAAGACCCTGATGCAGAAAACTGCCTCGCTGAGTCAGGCATGCACAAACCAGTCCATCTACCTCTGAGTGAAAAAACCCAGCGCCAAACGTCTGTGCTCTGTTTCAGATGTTGAAGGAGGCGAAGGAGAAGGAGCGTGCACGTCTGAACAACCAGCCTGTCAGCGCACCCACCGCTCACTACGGGATTCTTTTTGATGACTACCAGGGTTTGTCACACCTGGAGGCCCTGGAGATTCTGTCTAATGAGAGCGAAGCTCAAGTAAAGCAGCAGACACTACCGGTCAGAAAGTGTCTGTTTAGTCATGGTGAACGTAACGCGCTGTGTTCACGCTTAGGTCCAAGCCTTCCTGTCCGCTCTGGCGGAGGAAGAGCAGGATGAGGTGAAGAAGGAGCTGATCTTCATCAGAGACATTTTCATCAAGCAGCAAGAAGAAGAGGAAGGAGAGGCAAACGGAGGACAGACGAAGGATAATGGTGATCTAAGTTCCCAAACACAATGTTCTACCCCTCTATGTGAGTGATCCAGAGCAGCCAGAGGTAGAGCCGTCCCTGAGCACTGACCCAGGATCAGGTGGTCTTAGGAGGCTTGATAAAAGCAGTCTGACATGATTATAGGTGAACTTTGAACTTCAGCCATTATTGATGCATCATGTGCTACTGGCAGGTTTTAGACTCAGCCGGACAACAAAACATCTCTTCATGAGGTTACGCTTTACTCCAGACAAGCTCTTTTTTTATGTGAATGTTGGTTTAGGGTTCCAGTGATGATCAAATTCTATATTTATATTTATTTTACTCTGCAGACACTTATTTAGCATGCATGCTTTTGGTCTGTGGGAGGAAACCAGAGAACTCTGAGATCCCACGCAGGTTCATAGAGAAAAGCTGCAGCCAGGATTCAAACCTTGCTGCGAAGTAACCATGCTGCCCACTGCACCACCATGCAACAAACTGAAAACTCATTTCATACAAAACATCACATGTGTGATCTGCTACCGCTCACATTATATGAGCTACTAACACCCAGAGTGAGAGCCATTTTTGTGTTCGCCAACGCTGATTAGCTATAGCGGCCATCTTGAAATGGGTTGTGATCCAGTGTCGGTGTTCAGGGACCAGCGTCACACTCACCTTGACGAAAGACACTAGAAACAATCCACAATCAAAACATGCATGTGTGTCGTGCATCTAAACGTAATTGTGATAAATTTTTGAATTAATTTGGCATGAAAAGATCAATCGGGTACCTGCACAGATCCTTTGAATCCATGCATGGAGGGAGTCCAAACGTGGGCGTGTCAGAGCTAGATTTTAATGTGTGAGCTAATCTCTGCTGACTGGTTTGTCTGTTCTTATCAGCTGCTGATGGTGAGGAGTTTGTCAGCGTTCTCACTGAGCTGCTGTTTGAGCTTCATGTTGCTGCAACACCAGACAAACTCAACAAGGTAACACGAGTTTGACCATTTTAGTTAAAACCAGTTTTGATGTGAGGACTCATCATTTCACCAAATATAAAAATTACAGTCATCAATGATGACTCATCCCGAACACACATTCTTGGCCTTGCTGGCATCCTGCTGCAGTTTTAGAGACAATATTAAATAAAGTCATCACCTCTGCAAATCTCCAGCATTATAACATTCCCGTTCATAGAAGTGACATTAGCATCGAATCGTGGACACGCATCTCATCAGCATACATCAGCTCTTAGCATGCAGCGCTGATGGGTGGTAATTATGCATCTCCAGGCTCGAATGAGGGCCCATGAATGGGTGAACAAGGTGGAGCAGCCTGTCACTACGGATACAGTTGTCAGGGAAACGCAGGACAAGCCAGGAGGAGAGGACTCCCCTGGAGAGAGCCAGGAGGAGAAGAAAGATGGAGAGGAGCTGCAGGAGAGGAACGAAGATAAGAAAGCAAAAGAGAGTGACGCCAGATCAGTAGAGGTCATCTCATGATTTAGTTTACCTTCTTCATGCAGCCAGTGTCCTCCTCGGCAGTCTCACTGTGTGTGTTTGGTTTTTGTTGTTTGTCTTTCCCTCTGTAGGTTGTGTACATGTCGTCAGTCGGCAGCCTGGCGGAGGTGACTGCTCGCAGTATCGAGCAGCTCCACAAGGTGGCAGAACTCATCCTCCATGGTCAGGATCTGGAGAAACCAGCGAGGGACCAGGCCCAGATCCTCACCAGGTACATGCACTGGTATTCAAACACACGTCATGAGAAACAGACTTACTTTAAAGACATTCCCACTAAGGAATTTCACCCATGGAAATAACTCTCATTAATGTGATGTCCTGTGGTGGGACGGGAGTAAACCTGTTCTTGTGTACATTGGGTCTTTGGTGACATTTGTAGAACTTTGGTCTGGGAACATTTCTGTTAAGCTAAAGACGTTGAACTTTTTGGCAGAGTGAGATTACAGCATGTGTGAATCACGGGGGAAAGACTGAACGCTGCAGTACAATAATCCGTGTTTGGTATTCCAGGTTGACGTGTGCCATGTGTGCGGAGGTAGACTGTTTGTGCAAGAGCTTCTCTGATGCTCTCCTTCTTGTTGGGGTGAGTCTGACTCAATACAGTTTGAACTTTTAGTATTTTAAACGTGTCAGTAGAGTAATTTATGATAAATGACCCGCACTTGTAAAGCGCCTTTCAGTGTCAGAGGACTCCAAAGCGCTTTACACTACAGTGTATCATTCATCCTTTCACACACACACACACACACACACACACACACACACACACACACACACACACACACACACACACACACACACACACACACACACACACACACACACCTGCTACCTACAGTAAAACACGGTGGTGGTTCCATAATGCAGTGGGCTGTGTGGCCAGTGCAGGGACTGGGAATCTTGTTAAAGTTGAGGAATGAATGGATTCCACTCAATATCAGCAGACTCTGGAGACCAATGACCAGGAATCGGTGACAAAGCCGAAGTTCCACCAGGGCTGGATGTTTTACCAAGATGACCCTAAACACTGCTCAACATCCACTAAGGCGTTCATGCAGAGGAACAAGTAGAACATTCTGGAATGGCCATCTCCTTCCCCAGACCTGAATGTTATTGAAAATAACTAGTTCAAACAGTTTAGATGCAGAGGCATCAAAGGCCTTGAGCAATATCTCAAGGAGATTAGTTCTTCATGAGGAGAGAGATGACCTTTAGGTGGAAAACAGTCCCTTCATGACGCTACACTGTGGTGTGAGTTAAAGAGAGCTGTCCATGCTCAGAAGCCATTAAACCTGAATAGTTTTATATCCATTCAGTTAAATCTCACTGAATCCACTGGAGACATCGTCAGCCCTAATCCACCAGTGTTGCTGGATGTCTTTCAGGCCCAGAGGAAAGCAGAGGAGTTGAATCCATTAGTAGATGGTGTGTTGCAAGAGGTAAGGTGTTTAAGGTTATTTTATAATGATAAAGACTTTTATATTGTTTTAAATGCTAATGGATTCAAATATCCCACTTGGTGAGGAGATTAAGTATGTCCCTTCCTCAAAACTTTGAAATTTGCTCAAATATAAAAATTGGTAACTCCATAATGTATTGATAATGACAAGTCATCATCAGCAAGTATATGGTGCAATTAAAAATAGCTTTTTGACTACATTTTAAATATATGTACCGTGATTTCCGGACTATAGAGCGCAGCTCAATATAAGCGGCACCGGGCTAAAAGCCGCAGATATCTACTGGATTGAAAACGTAGTTTAACTGGACGTAACTGAACTGATCAGTATCAGACAAAACAGAAAAGTTATTGATTAGTTTATTCATCGTCCTCCTGCGCACTGAAACCACTGAAGCCATCTTCTTCAGTGTCAGAGTAGAACAGCCTCAGAAGAGCTTCGTCACATACCTTTTCTGTGGCGATGTCAGTGTCGCTCTCCGTGTTGCTGTCATCATCCCCGGGTGAAGCTGGGAAAACAAGCAGCGCCGTTTTACTGTGAAAAAAATCCTCCTGGGCACTTTCCGTAGCGCTCCTTTAACCATTCCTTCATTAGACTTTCCAGCATCCATCCTTTCTGGTTGACTAAAGCCACACCTCATTATAAGCCGCATGGTTCAAAGCGTGGGAAAAAGTAGTGGCTTATAGTCTGGAAAATACGGTATATATACACTCAACAAAAATATAAACGCAACACCTTTGTTTCTGCTCTGATTTTTCATGAGATGGACTGAAAGATCTAAAATTCATTCCAGATACACAATATTACCATTTCTCTCAAACTTTGTTCACAAATCAGTCTAAATGTGTGATAGTGAGCACTTCTGCTTTGCTGAGATAATCCATCCCACCTCACAGGTGTGCCACATCAAGATGCTGATCTGACATCATGAGTAGTGCACAGGTGTACCATATACTGCCCACAATAAAAGGCCACCCTGGAATGTGCAGATTTTGCACAGTATATATATATATATATATATATATATATATATATATATATATAGGTCCTTCTAAAAAAAATTGCATATTGTGATAAAGTTCATTATTCTCTGTAATGTACTGATAAACATTAGACTTTCATATATATTAGATTCATTACACACAACTGAAGTAGTTCAAGCCTTTTATTGTTTCTAATATTGATGATTGTGGCATACAGCTCATGAAAACCCAAAATTCCTATCTAAAAAAATTAGCAAATTTCATCCGACCAATAAAAGAAAAGTGTTTTTAATACAAAAAAAGTCATCCTTCAAATAATTATGTTCAGTTATGCACTCGATACTTGGTCGGGAATCCTTTTGCAGAAATGACTGCTTCAATGCGGCGTGGCATGGAGGCAATCAGCCTGTGGCACTGCTGAGGCGTCATGGAGGCCCAGGATGCTTCAATAGCGGCCTTAAGCTCATCCAGAGTGTTGGTTCTTGCGTCTCTCAACTTTCTCTTCACAATATCCCACAGGTTCTCTACGGGGTTCAGGTCAGGAGAGTTGGCAGGCCAGTCGAGCACAGTAACACCATGGTCAGTAAACCAGTGGTTGTGGCACTGTGAGCAGGTGCCAGGTCGTGCTGAAAAATGAAATCTTCATCTCCGTAAAGCTTTTCAGCAGAAGGAAGCATGAAGTGCTCCAAAATCTGATTGCTAGCTGCATTGACCCTGCCCTTGATAAAACACAGTGGACCAACACCAGCAGCTGACATGGCACCCCAGACCATCACTGACTGTGGGTACTTGACACTGGACTTCAGGCATTTTGGCATTTCCCTCTGCCCAGTCTTCCTCCAGACTCTGGCACCTTGATTTCTGAATGACATGCAAAATTTGCTTTCATCCAAAAAAAGGTACTTTGGACCACTGAGCAACAGTCCAGTGCTGCTTCTCCGTAGCCCAGGTCAGGCGCTTCTGCCGCTGTTTCTGGTTAAAAAGTGGCTTGACCTGGAGAATGCGGCACCTGTAGCCCATTTCCTGCACACGCCTGTACACAGTGGCTCTGGATGGTTCTACTCCAGACTCAGTCCACTGCTTCCGCAGGTCCCCCAACGTCTGGAATCAGTCCTTCTCCACAATCTTCCTCAGGGTCCGGTCACCTCTTCTGGTTGTGCAGTGTTTTCTGCCACACTTTTTCCTTCCCACAGACTTCCCACTGAGGTGCCTTGATACAGCACTCTGGGAACAGCCTATTCATTAAGAAATGTCTTTCTGTGTCTTACCCTCTTGCTTGAGGGTGTCAATGATGGCCTTCTGGACAGCAGTCAGGTCGGCAGTCTTACCCATGAATGCGGTTTTGAGTAATGAACCAGGCTGGGAGTTTTTAAAGCCTCAGGAATCTTTTGCAGGTGATTAGAGTTAATTAGTTGATTCAGATGATTAGGTCAATAGCTCGTTTACAGAACCTTTTCATGATATGCTAATTTTTTGAGATAGGAATTTTGGGTTTTCATGAGCTGTACGCCAAAATCATCAATATTAGACACAATAAAAGGCTTGAACTACTTCAGTTGTGTGTAATGAATTTAATATATATGAAAGTCTAATGTTTATCAGTACATTATAGAAAATAATGAACTTTATCACAATATGCAAATTTTTTTAGAAGAACCTGTATATAGGATGGATGGATGGATAGATAGACGGATATCTTTTTTTTTCAAGTGACAAATGAAAGTTGACTATTTTTTATTAAATGCATCACAAAAAGAAGCCGGCTTGAATGATCATTGTTAAATTAACTCATTTGCAAATAAACTGTAAAAACATAAAGGAAAACTACAGTTTGGCTCAGGGTTTGTAATGATGCGATGCATTAACTGGCTAACAACTCAATGGAATGGCGCTTTTGTTTAAATCATCAATCATTATCAAATGATAGAACTGCAGAGTAAAACAAGTTGATATGAATTGTGACGCTGAACGCTCGGGGTTAGTGTGTAGATCATGTGTGTGTTCGCTAGACAGCTAAAATCCACGAGATGTAGAGTCACACCCCCATCAGCAAACACATCTGCTGTCATCAGATGAGGGCAGCGTGACAGTAATCAGAGGCATAGTCCTAGATGATGATGATGATGATGATGTATAAAAGTGATGGGCCTTCTGTCTGCAGGGCACCAACAGCACCAACTACATACATAATGCATTTCAGCTGCTGCTGCCAGTCCTGCAGATGTCCCACATCCAGAGCCAACGCTGCCGACCTGCTGAGGAAGCTGCAGCTCCGTTGCAGCACTGACACACTCAGATAATCCACTTGCCTTTACTTACAGCTGTACAGTGAAGTACACACAGTAACTCAGTGCTTTAAGTCACAAAAAGTGCCATGTTAAATATCAGAGGATATCAAGTCTTAACATTAACAAAATAATTGTGTGAATATTAGATAAAATGCAGGTTGTGTCTCTACCAATTTATATTTATCAGTGTTTTTGCCTGTGTGTTTATTTTATTTTTTTGTTTTTGTTTAATGCTGCCACAGTGAATAATCTGTCAGTGGTGTAGCCACCAGTGAACTCTATAGTGTCACTTCATACTCGCTGGCTGTGTATGCTAAGATTATACATTAGTATTGATGATATTAGTTACCTGCTTCTCAAATACACATCAAAGTCAGAACTTGATCATTAAAAGTTCGTGTTTAAACTAGAAGATCAAATCTCACTTTTCCTGCCTGAAGATGAATAAAAAATACCACAGAAAACAAAACTGACTGAAGTTATCAATGCAAGTATGAAAGGGTTTAGAATATTTTATATAAAAAAACTATTTGGACATTACCAGATGTTAGGCAAAGGGACCCCCCCCCCCCACACACACACACACACACCCACACACACTTAAACCTACACATGTACCATGTGTGCCACCACATGTACCATAGAAACTTCCCTTACAGAGTCTTGCTGCTGAAGATAAATCACCAGGAAACAAATGTATGTTAGATATTCCTGTAGAGGTGATGTTCCAGAAGTGCACACACTAGTCACTAGAATGTGACTCTAATGTAGACTGAATTTCTCGTGTCATCACTGACTAGATGTCTAAACAGACAGAGATTAAAAACAAAAATCTGATAGTTTTCACTAAAACATGTCTGCAGGCCAAGAGGTATTTTTATCAGTAGAACAAAAACAAAAATCGTAGTGTGTGTTTTCTCTCCTTGAGTATTTCAACTAAAAAGTTAATAAACTGTCTTTTTCAGTGTTTTAATCTGGTTTGAAATGACATTCTTTTCTGAAAGTACACAGTGAATATTGCTTGTTTGTTTTTGTGTTAAATTATTTGAAGCAAAATTAATTTTGGACTGATTCAAAGCTTCGGCTGCTTTACCAAAAACGTGTCCTGAGAGCCAACTATGTAACTTGACAGTATGTGATTGTTAAAAATGTTTATTGTGCTGCTGCAAATAAAACTATCAGTTTATATGTCGTCAATTATCAAGAGTTGTCTCAAGGCGCTTCTCAAAGTAAACATTCTAACTGAACTTACTTATCAGTGCATGGACTTCAAGTCATTATTCTAGTTAGTTAAAGGTTTTCTATGTAAGGAAACCCAGCAACTTGCATGGAGTCATTTATTTTAAAGCAATCCTCATACTAAGCAAGCACGTAGCAACAGTGGAGAGGAAAACCCCCCTTTGAACAAGAAGAAACCTCAGTACCTGGCTCAGAATGAGCAGCCATCTGCAACAACTGGGTGGAGGTTAGAGAAGGTGGAGCACACACAAAAAAAAAAAACAAATGCCCTAAACTATTAGTGTTTGCTATTCGCTCAACATACTATATTTGTAGCAATAGTTTAGATCAGTGGCCCTCAATAGGCGGCCCAGACACCTCCACTTTCTGTAAGGGTGCAAATAAATCTGCAAAAACTACAAAAGTGTACAGACAGTAACAAGTTCAGCTAATTGCTAATTAGTGTGATTTTGTTGAACTACCTAAGATTAGTCGGACCTCCATAGAATTAGAAAGAAAGTATAAGTTCAAATGTTAAAATTATTTTATAATAACCATCCTTTCATTTTCAGCTGCTTATCCAGAGTCTGGTTGCAGGGGCAGCAGCCTAAGCCAAGATGCCCAGACTTCCCTCACCCCAGCTACTTGAGCCAGCTCTTCTGGGGGAATCCTAAGGCGATCCCTGGCCAGCCAAGAGACATAGTCTTTCCAGCTTGTCCTGGGTCTTCCCTTGAGTCTTCTCCCTGTTGGATATGCCTGGTAAACCTAACCAGGGAGGCATCCTGACCAGATCCACTTGAAGCAGGACCCCGTTCCTGACCCCCTTTTTTGATTCAAGACCATGGTCTCATCCCCGCTGCTTCACACTTGGCTGCGAACCGCTGAGTGTGAAGATCATTGTCCGATGAAGCCAAAGGGAACACATCACTATACATTAGTATGAGACCTGATCCTTAGGCCACCAAAAACAGATCCCCTCAACACATTGGCTGCACCTAGAAATCCTGTCCATAAAAGTTATGAACAGAATCAGTGCCAGAGGGCAGCCTTGGCAGAGTCCAACCCTCACCAGAAACAAGCTCCACTGACTGCGGAAATGTGGACCAGCCTCTGACACTGGTCATACAGAGACCTAACAGCCCGTATCAAAGGGCCTGGTACCCCATACTTTTGGAGTACCCCCCCCCCCCCCCCCCACACACACACACACACACAGGGCCTCCCAAGGGATGCGATCGAACGCCATCTTCCCCAGGATCCCCCTAAGCGTATAGAGCTGGTCCAGTGTTCCATGGCCAGGACAAAACCCAAATTGTTCATCCTTAATCTGAGTGTCGGCAATCCGACGAAACATCCTCTCCAGAACCCCTAAATAGGCCTTACCATGGAGGCTCAGGAGTGTGATCCTCCTGTAGTTGGAACACATTCTACGGTCCCCCTTTTTAAACAGGGGACCACCACCCCAGTCTGCATATCCAGTGGAACTGCTCCCGATGTCCACACAATACTGCAGAGCCACGTCAACCAACACAGCCCCACGACATCCAGGGCCTTAAGGAAATCTGGGCGGATCTCATCCACCCTTGGGGCCTTTCCACTGACCACCTCACCAATGGAGGCACGAAACATGGTGCACTCAGACTCTTTAGCCTCTTTTATAAGACAGACCATCGCGTCATTACAGAGTGATAAATCCGAATTTGTGGGTCTAGTAAATGCGGCAAGGAGCAAAGGGGAAAGGTGATAAAACTCGATTCTGATGCGCTTAGCCTAGTAGTAATATTGCCGCATGAGCCCCTTGCCTCTGATGGCTAAACTCGTGTCAGCCCTGCTAATTCCTTTGGAGCGACCCCCCCCCCCGCAAAAGACGGTGGTCGTGTTAGTGATGTATACTGCGCGCCGAGTGCCGGCCGGAAGGGATATAAACACAGATAAACATGGCCTTTCACTAGTATCTTTCAACCACTTACAACATGGCAAACGGGACGGATGTGGAGACCATGGAGCTTTTGGCCGTGCGAGCGGACAAACAAATTAGTCGTCTTTTTACGGGGACGGTGAGAGACAGCCAGCTGTTCGACAGAGTGGTGAAAACACTGGCTGAGTGGGTGTCAAGCGGGACAAAAAGCAGGTCACATCAAAGCTAAAGGTCCTGAAAAAGAAATTTAATCAGTCTGACGTTTCTTCCGTCTGACGCTGAATGCGCAACCCTGTACGTCACATGCGGGGGGGCCGCCCAGCGACCTCCCTCTATCCCTTCTTGGTTTGAGAGGTGCCTGATGGCAGCTTCAGCTTTGCTACTATAAATGCCAAAATCCTCCCTAGGGAGCTGCGGCAAATCCCATGTTGCAAACGCTATGGTCCTATAAAAACAGCTATTGTCTCCCGCTTCTCACGGGACAAGTTCGACAATCTGTCGGCGGTGGGAATTGAAGCTCCTTCTGACAGGAGACTTCGCCAGACGCTCCTAGCAGACCCTCACAGTACATTTAGGCCTGCCAGGTCTGACCGGCTGCCCCCCACCATCAAAGCCAACTTACCACCTGGTCAGTTGAAAGCTCCACCCCTCTCCTCAGATCTGATGAAACTACAACAAAGTCGATCATCGAACTGCTGCCTGAGAGAACATGTGGACACATATATGCTTGAACATTGTGTTCGTTATGGACAAGCTATGATGTGCACAGAAGTCCAGTAACAAAACATTGCTCAGATTCAGATCGAGGGGCCATTTCTCCCATCCACACGTCTCCAGGTCTCACTTTTTATGTTTAAAATTTTTTTGTTTTTGTGAAGCGCCTTGTGATTTTTTTCTTGAGAGGCACTATATAAAAGATAGTTTCTTCTTCCTTCTTCTTCACTGTTGTAAAGTCCTGCAGCAGAGCGAGGGAGTCACTGGAAGGAGCACTCTCCAGCACCCCCTCCAAGGACTCCAAATTGGGTTGGTTGTTTGAGCTGCAGTTTGGTGCATAAGCACAAACCACATTCAGGACAGGCATGACATTAAAGCAGAAGCGTTGATGCTCCACCTGAGAGTGAGTCTGTAGTGCTTGTCACCAGCATTCAGACATCAATTCTGTTTGTTTCACAGCCAGACAGGACACGGAAAAAAATAAATAAAAAGTAAAGTCCAGTCAGGGAAACTGTTTCTAGAGCTAGAGTCCAACTATATCTACCAGGACCCTCTCAAACTCACACACCAACTCCGGCTCTTTCCCCACCAGAGAGGTGACTTTCCACGTACTGAGAGCTAGCTTTTTGTAGCCGAAGATCAAACAGGCCCTAACCCTTCGGCTACCACCTTTTCATAACTTTAAAAAAAAGTTTAATATTATAAATCTAATTTATTAAGAGTCTAAATAGTAAAAATGTCCAAATTGAAAAGAATAAAATATAGTGCAAGAAGGCAAGGTATCTTTATTTTTATGGCACGTTTTATACACGGAGTATGTTCAGTGTGCTTTTCAGGTGTCTTCATATAGGTTTTAAAGCAGGTTTTGTCTCAACTTAGCATCTGTTTCAAATATTGATCAGACTGCACAAGTGCAAATACGAACATATTTTAGCACAAACGGAACTCCGTTGAACCACTAAAGCCCAAGACCCACAAAACCCTTGAGGTTTGTAGAGCCTGGTGGTTTTAATGTTGTGGCTCATGGGCTGTAGATTACAACAGCTTCTTATTCAGCTTAATGACAGAAAAAAATGTGTTTATTCTCTGCTTCTCTAATTTTAAAGATTCTCCAGAGTAGATGAGAAAGTTATCACATAAACAACTTGTAGAATGTTTTGTTTTCTTCAGCTGGAAACTTTACCAACTGTTTACAGTTTTCCAGACTCAAAACTAGTTGCACCAAAGAAGAAATATGTTTACAGGGCATTAAATTCATTTGAATTAGGACAGCTTGCTTGTCAATGTTAAAACATTTTAATTATGTATTGAATACTTGAAGATGAGACAGTCAAATTAACCGTATGTAGATCCACCTCGAGGTGGATCAGATGCAGCCACTTTTATTTGTCTTCAGTGGAACTAAAGTTGCTTTCTGAGCTCCTCAGGTGCTTCTTTGTCACCACATCTACAAATGTAGGAATGTGAACACGATGGTGCAGATTTCCTAAAGACATGAAAAAACACAGGAATTACAAAAAAAACCTATTAAAGTACTAAATTATTTAAACATTTTAACCCTCTGGAGGCAGGATTTGCAGATTTGAAACAGTTAAAACCTACCTACCTGGTTACTCCACATGGGTTCATGAGCCTTTTTAACTCAGAAGTTCCCCTGAAGGACTTAGTTGTTCGTCCTTTTATCAAAACTTATTTTGAGCCTGAGAGGGTTAATGACTATTTCTGATTATAATTGTGGAAGTGCGAGTATTGGGACTGGGACTCTGATCTGGCTCTACCTCCACTCTAAAATGTACCGTTGCCATGCCCATGCACTGCCTGTAGGGCACCATGTGACCAGGGGGCACCAACCTTCCCCCCAACAATGAGTGCAATGGAGTGTGTCTGTCAGTGCTCACACTCCCGCACTCTGACAATCATACGGGTGTGCTGCAGAAAGAAATTCCACAGGTAACCTGTATTTACAAATACACGTGTGTGTGTGTGTGTGTGTGTGTGTGTGTGTAGATAGATAGATAGATTGATTGATAGATGATGGGTAGGTAGGTAGGTGGGTGGGTGGATGGATGGATGGATGGATGGATGGATGGACTGCTTGGATGTTATAGTTTACGTCTGGGTGATGGCACACATCTACACAACGCTGGGAGGCAAAAGGACTGCAGCTGCTTTCCAGACCTGTAGTTTCACAATTTAGGCTAACAAAATAAAACCTAGATACTAAGTTATTACTATTTTTGGTCCTCTGACACATTTGTGCAGATGATCATTAAGTTTCATCCCAAAGCTAACAATATTTAGCACAAAGCTTCCAGATCCAAATTTAAATAGCTAATAAGCTGTGGGGACAAAGGTCCTCAGAACTGGCTGCTATAACAGAGAAATCTGCAACTATTGGATTTCCACGCCTGGACTTTACATAGATTAATACAACGAAGGTGTAATTGGATCTCTTCTGCATTGAGCGGGTTAAGGCTGAACAATCGCCATGCACGGTTCATCTTTGGAGATGAACAGATGCTCCATTTATTCTGACAAGCACAGTAAACACAACATTAGAGGCTGCCCGCTCCAAGTCCTCTCCAACAACACAGGAAAAAATGAGCAGATTTCAGGAGGAACAAACAGTTTATAAATAAATAAATAACTTTTATACATCTGACATATCTGACAAGCTCAGTAAACACAAAATGAATGACAGTAATGGCTGACAACTCTAATTAGAGAACACATTTTGTGTAGTTATGTAAATAGAAACTGATTTAACCTTGTTACAAAGTCATTTAAGTCATTAGAAGGCTTTAACTTGTTTGTGTCTGGACACATGGGGCAGATATTTTATTTTTTTATTCTGTCATGAGACTTAGGCTCTGACAAAATCTCTTCGTGGCTGTTAACCACTGACTTCACAATATTTCATCAGCTGGAAACCTGTAAAATTTTTCGTTACTGTCCTTCATTTGTCTACTTGTGCAGCCTACAGCTCTACGTGTTTAAACCGTGCTGATAGATTTTATTTAGCCGCTATTTAGCTCAATTTATTGACAACTGACAGATAGTAACTGTGGTCAACAGGGAGGTGCTGTCTTCTTCCCTCCCTTATATATATATATATATATATATATATATATATATATATATATATATATATATATATATATATATATAATTTCTGTTTATACATTATATATATATATATATATATATATATATATATATATATAGCGAGAGAGAGATTTGTGTTTTTAAAAAAAGCAGTGGAGGTTGTGGAGTCACACCTCAGGCAGAAAGAGCTGGTGGGGTCGCTGGCCACCAAGAAAGCTGACTTCAGTTTTTTTCCAAAGATCCAAGTAGGGAAGGCCCAAGGGAAGGAGATACACCAGCTGATTCAGGAAGAGGTTCGAGCAGGTGTGGAGGAAGAGCGAGTGAGCACGACAGTGGTGCTCAGTCAGCAGGGGTCATGGAAGACGTGGGAGGATCTTTCACTGCAGAACGTTACCTGGACAAACATCATCAAAGTGGATTTCCATCGTGTCCAGTTCCTTGTCCAGGCTGTATATAACGCCTTGCCAAGCACAGCCAACCACCACTTGTGGGGCAAGAGGGAGACTCCAGCATGTCAGCTATGCTCTGGAAGGGGATCCTTACACCTGCTGAGTAGCTGCCCGAAGGCTTTTACAGAAGGTAGCTACAGTTGGCGTCATGACCAGGTGCACCATTAATGGTGGAAAGCATGGGCACTACAATCATCCCAAGCAAATACCATCTTGACCCAAAGACAAAGATTGCCTTTGTCAAAGTTGGAGAAGAGCAAACACCAAGGCCGGGTCTTCATCATACTGCATTGGATCGGCAGCTTCAAGCAGATCTGGGAAAGCAGTGGAAGTTACTGAAGCACTTTACTTCGCCCAGACATAATTATTGTTTTGAGGCGACAAAACAGCTCATAATTCTCAAACTCAATATGCCTTGGGAAGACCACGTGGAAGAGGCACATAAAAAATTGCATCAAGTACCAGTTTCTTGGTGTTTCTCCAAAATGAAGTTCTTCAAAGAGCAACACGTAAGATGTAAATCGTTCTGCACCTATCTACAGAATCCAACTTTAAGAAACTTGAACAATCCTTTTGAGAGAATGTCAGATTTACCAGTGACGCTTTGGTCTGTGTTTTCATCCAGTAGAGTTTCAATTTCACCTGGAAAAGAAGCATAAAACAGTTATTAGTCACTCAAAGGCACACAGGGTAAGAAGGAAAGGAGAAATCAAAGAGAAAGTAAGAAAAAGTCAGCAGGTAATGTACTGAAGTCAGAAGAATGTCCTCTGAAGTCATAGAAACACGTATGTGTGTGTGTGTGTGTGTGTGCGCGCGCGTAAAACAATAAATCTTTGTGAGACTTGTTATTAAAACGTTTGACCAAGGGAACTGAGCAAAGTTAAGTAACATTTTCAGGGTCCTTTGTGTTTCTGTTCATGGGGATCAAGACTCAATTTTAATTATCAACATGATTAGACGCATTAATATAGCTCACAGAAGCCCCCTAGTGGCTTGTTCAATCAATACAACATGGAAGCATTGGTGTATTGGGTTATTTGGATTCATCTTCCTACAACAGTCGACGGAAAAAATATCTGTATTATTGTGTGTTTTAAATGTTAGAACTGAGGCCAATAGAAAGTGAAAATAAAGAAAAAAATAAAGTTTTTAATTAGGTTTGTGGTTTAATGGTATGAAATGACTGTTTTCCACCAAAAGCCATCTTCCCCCTCTCCTCTGACACAGAACTAGTCTGCATGAGATATTGCCTCAAGGTCTCATGCATTTGCTTCTATACTGCTTCTTTCCTGCTCAACAGAAGAATGAAGAATGGACTCTCTCCTTTTAATAAATCAAAGTACTCTATTTTAATGAGCTAATCAAACAAAGTGTTAGTCAATAAATAAGATGTGACCAATCTGTGAAATCAAAATATTAATTACTTTATTATAATCCTATAGAATAATAAGTAATATGACTTTAAATGTTTCCACCAGGACTGATCTCACGTAGCATTAAAAGACATGACCCATTGCATTCACTGATCCAATCAGAATCTGCCAGATCTGACGGAGGCGTGGTTTTGGTGGTGTTTGGTAAATATGTCAACTTTTATTCGACCATAAACCAAAACATCCGAAGCATAAAATTCAATTTCACCTGGAAAAGAAGCATAAAACAGTTATTAGTCATTCAAAGGCACACAGGGTCCACATCATCTCTAACGCCAGTTCAAAGCGTTCTAGAGAAGTTGTCGGAGTGGCCAATCCGTAACTTTCCTCTTCAGCCAAAAGAACCAACGACAAGCTGGATAAAATCTGTTGCTGTTCCAACTGCTGCAACGGTTCCTTTCTGAATAAAAGCTGAACCATCACGACCCAGGTTTGGGTCTCGCTAGATGCCAACAAAACCGTTGTGACCCGGAAGTATCTCAAAGACTGGTCTGGTCGGCAACCGCTGCTTTTCCTACAGGCTTCGGTTCCAGAGAAGGTCTAGCTGAACCTCGACATTCCTGATCTAACGGGGACTTCCGCTAAGGGTATACAGGCCGAAGAAATGGCGTTGAATGTGTTTATGAATCTCCTAATCAAGCTTAGCGCGAAGACATCACCTTCATTTCCCATCAGAACTAATCGCTTCTTTGGATTTGCTGGTTCTGAGCAACATTCCACACTACACCCTTCTCCGTCTCATTCACCTTAGTTACAGCATACATGTAGTGTTAAAGTTAGTCTAGTTTAATTTGTTTAGCAATAAATTTTTAAACTTTTAAACTCGACTCTCTCTCTTCTCTGAGTGAATACAAAGCTGTTAACTAATCTCTGCAATAAAAAGTTCCAATCTTCTGGTTAAAATAACCTCACAGATCCATAAGGTTGATTTCATATTTGCTATGGAATCTTTTGTCTTATGGTTTATTAGCGCCGAGCTGCAGGGAGGAGAGAACCGGGTGGAACACAGAGGTCTCCTGAGAGCTCCACAAGCCGGCAGCCGCTCAGCAGACAGGCACCGCGGCAATCAGATGCGCCAAGCTGCGGGGAGGGGACCGATAGTCGGAACCCAGCTCCACCAACATGTTATATTTCACCCCATTTTCTAAAATGCAGCGTCATGTTAAATACACTGGGTTTTACCGTATTAAATTTAAATTTCATGGTTAAACAGTACATGTTAAAATCTAAGCTCAGCTCGGCAGTGACCTAAAATACATAAATATAATTTTACTTACTGAAAAAAATGAAGTGGAGACTCCTTGGACGCTCTATTAGTGCAATTAATGCCACATGAAGTCATTTTGTCCAACAATTGCACAAATAATTTCCAAAAAGAACGCACAAACGCTACAACTAATGGTCTAAGTTGAGAGACTGAAAATGGCGGAACAGTTTTCAGGCGAGGCCGAGGCTCAGGCTGAGACCTTTCCCCGGAGCTAGCTCTGCGGTCACGTGGGTCTGATGCTCATTAATTATACAGAATTTTAGGCTTTTAATACACTTAAACAGAAGAGTGAGAAAAACATTCACCGCCCTCAGAGTTGTCATGAGTATAAACTAGATCATTTAAACGTAAAACATGCTTTGAAACAAGGCTGTAAACATGTTTATTTCTGCTGTGAAATTGGTATTTTTAACATGGGAGTCATTTGGGAGGATTTGCTCTTTTCTGACGCCAGCCCCCAGCGGATGAGGGTGGCACTGCAATTTATTTCACTTCCGCATTGGCCTCAATTTCAGACCCAAATTACGGGGGCTTGGTTTGTGGTCAAACCATTGAGTTTGGAAAAGTGTGTGTATGTGTGTGTGTGTGTGTGTGTGTGTGTGTGTATACCGGTCTATACATCAAAGTGAGGACCAAAACAAGTTTTTTACCTGCAAACTGAGGACATTGAACCAAAGTGAGGACATTTTGCTGGTCCTCAATTTGGTACAATGTTACAGAGCTCTACTGGTTTTAGATGTTTTGTGTGAGTTAAATTTTAGTTAAGGTTAGGGTTAGGAGTGGACTGGTTACGGTTAGGGTTAATCCAGTCACTGAAATGAATGGAAGTCAATGACCGTCTTCACAACGAATGCTAAACTAGAGAGAGAGAGAGAGAGAGTGTGTGTGTGTGTGTCTCACTTTGACTGCCAGCTTCTTGAATAGGTGGAAGTTCTGTTCATTATAATTAGGACAGTGTCCATTAGAGGATTGAAACATCTTTTTGATCAGTACAATCTTTTTTTTAACCATATTTCAGAAACTTACTTGAACAAATCTGAAGTCCATATGACTGGTGAAAACTTCTTGTTCCTTCTAGAAAATAAGTTTAATTTAGCTGCTGAATATTTAACGCAACTGGAAATTAATACATTTCTTTTTGCAAGTTACCTTTTAAGGTCTCAGCGTCTGATTTCTTCTCTACAGCTGAAGGAAAGAGCATAAGAACAGACGTTACAAATAAGTATTATAATTTCTGTCATGCAGAAGGCAAATTATTCTACAAAGTGACATTTGCATGATTTTCTATGACTTTTGAAAGAGTTTTGACACAAAAAAAGATATCCCGATAATTTATTTTTTCTAATGGCACCATCTGACAAGCATATCACACCAAGCCGTGGTTTTCACTTTTATATTTACAGCCGAACGCAACGCCTCTTGTTCATAAATGCGCTCTGCTAGCCAACAGAGTTGTTTTACAATTATTATGCTCATGTTAAATTGTGTTTTCAAACATTTATGTTTAAAGACTTGCTTGTCCACGAGAAAGGTTGCCAACTCTGCATCAACCGAGGTATGCTCCTAAACACTCGAGCACGCTCTGTGATTATTGTCTGTACATAAGCAGTAGCCTATTGCTATTAGAGTGCTGACTGGCGCTCAGCTCATATTGTATGGAGCTCTATGGGACAGGGGGCAGACTTCGCAATTAAAAAAATTATATTTCCTACATTAGTTCACAGTATAATGTAGACATTATTAGACAATCACTTTTATGGTTTTCTAAAAAAAATCATACATAATTTGTGAAAGAGGAAAATTCTGGATAGCAGCTTTAATAAACACACTCCTGAAGCTCAACAGGTGATTAAAATATGAAATGAATAATGCATAAACTTTCAAAGGTGCATGAAGTGAGAATGACATGTGGCCAAGTCTGGGTACTACAGTCCGCGTATCAAAACAAACGATTCTGCGCTGAATGACACCCCTCCTTCAGATCGCCAGAAGATTCTAGATGACGAGCAAAAAAAGTAATTCACAGTAAGTTGATAAGTAGATTAAAACATTTCACTGCAACATCCGATTAATATTTTTAAAGCCAACAATTTTTTTTTCTAATTTTCTATTAGCATTGTTAGCTCAAATGTTAGCATTCTTAGGGGTACAATAAATAACTTTCAGGTCGCTCCTGTTAGCGGTTAACATTTTATCCACAGCTCTGCTGGCACAGCAACTTTGCAGCCTATTTAAAAAGAGAAAAACTGACAAACATCCAGCTGAATGAAAGGACATTTGTTTTAATGTAACTTGCCTTCCAAAATGACTGAAACATTAGCCATTTTATTATTTTACTATGAAATTATCACTTGTATTGTATCTTTAAATATCTGAACCCCCCCCCCCCCTCCCCCCCCAATCACTAACCCATCTCACTATCATTACCAGATTCTGCTATGTTTTGTAGTCTATAGTGATCTGTTTGATTCTAGCTTTGTGACGCTCACACTAACGCTCAAATGTTTGGGATTACTGGGAACCTTTTAACACACATGAATAGGATACACATCACCCGATGTAGAAATTAATATTTTAATGGGCAAAATGAAGGTCTTCAAAAGACATTTCAAACTTGACACATTATTACGTGTTTTGGGTCCTCTAAATGAGATGTTTTGGGCCAGGGGAACCAACGACCATCAGAAAAAATTACGTAGATGTTTACATTCTCTACAAAGAAATGAGACATGTTTACCATTTTGTTTCTGATTGGGAGAGTGGTGACTGATGGGCCGTACCTTGGACTTTTCTGTGAAAGTAAAAATCATGTATGTTCTCTTCAGACTTAAAGATAAATGAATAAACAACTAGCTTGTGTGCTAATCTTTAGCTTACTGCCCAAGAGTTTTCTCCAGTTGATTTGTCTGATCACAGCGGTGAACACAGTCAGCAGCACCACACACAGCAGGAACAACCAGATCACCCTGGACACACACCACCACTCACCTGCAGGGACCAGAAATATGATGTGAAAAGAACATGTAAAAGAGTGCATGCTTTCGTTCTTTTTTAAACACAGAAACAGTTTTGTTTACCTGTTTGTAGCTACAAACAGGTAAACAAAACTGTTTCTGTGTTTAAAAAAGAACGAAAGCATGGATTTACAAAGACACAGCAAGAACACACCTAAGATGTAAAAGAGTGTATGACAGTCCACACTGAAACAAGATTATAATGTTTTAAACGGGTTGGAACTGGAAGCAAAGAGGAAAAGAGTGACTGTCGGTTTTATCATGTACAGTAGAACATGTGACACATATTAAGCTTCAGGAATTATGGGGAATCTGAGGTCAGAACAGAAGAAGGCAAGCCTAAATCAATAGAGAAGACAAGATTAGTGGGTATCGTAGTCTTTGAAAAGCACAAAGGGAGCGAAAGTCACAGCTGAGAGTTGAGTCAAGAGAATTGAGGGAAATTTGTTCTGTGGATAAAAATGAGCCAAGTGGGAGAGAGGACAGCTGTGAGTGAAATGAAAACCAATTGGCCTGTTTCCTGGTCTCATATTGTCTCCTCTCTGCTCACTTCCCATCTCAAAGTGAAGCCTCAGTGGCCACACTGGGAAACAAAGAAGAACCGCTCCCTCTCATCCTTACACCAACCTTTATCTAGCTGTTTCCATGGCAGCTTTTCCTCTTCTGTTCCAGTCAAAACTGTTTGATTGGCGAGCCAAAGGTGACAGAGGCATTGATTGGCTGATTTAGCTGTGGGAACGTGAGGAGGACAGCAGTAAAATGCCTCTCTCTGGCCTTCATCGTCACCCGTTTGGTGCTCCTCAGTTGGGTAGAGATGTAAGGAGCTGTCATTACTGTGGCCGTAGAAATTCAGATTCAGGATAAATGAATCGTTGAGTTGGAGTTCGACTGATACCTCAAAATATGTGTCGAGACCTGAGGATCAGAAGGAGTAATGTGATTTTTTTAGACCTTTTAGAGAGTATTTCAGTGTAAATGATAATTTACATATAATGTTTACTGTTTCAGAAACAGAGTTCACAACCATCGGAATTGATGCGCTAACGGCTAGTTGGATACCTTTTTGACAATTCCAATCCCTTGAGATTCACAGCTGCTTGTGCAACATTATTTTATAACCTTTAAATCATTGTAATGTAAAAGTGGTTCGGGTGTGAAGGTTGACAAAATATCATTGTGAGAACCAGTTTAAATTTTAATTTTAAAACAACAGCAACGTCCAGAGTCTGGGTCACTTAAAATCCGGTTAAAGCACATTTCTTATGGTTTCCAGTCCTGGTTGAACTCAGTGTCTTATTTTTATTGTACAAGGTATTTTTTAGTTTTTATTTCATGCTTTAATAGCTGTCTCATAGAACCACAAGTACAGTGGGATGTGAACGTTTGGGCAGCCTTGTTAATCTTCATGATTTTCCTGTATTAATTGTTGGATGTTACGATAAAGCTTTACGCCAAAGAAAAACAAATAAGATAAAACAGACATAAAAACAGAGGACTGTTCTCATATACAATATGTACAAGTAATCAAAACAGACTTAAAACAATCTTCAAGTATTCAGAAGCGGGCACATTGATCAGAAGCTATTGATTGCAATGAATTGTTGAAGGTAGATAATGGAATGTAGATAGGGAGCTTTAGTGAGGTAGCGAACTGCGATGAGGAGCGGCCAAAGGAGGTGCGAGTTTTGGGCATAACCATAGAGATTAGGTTACTGGAACGTAAAATGTGCTGGTTGTTGGAAGTGATGAATGAGTGAAGGTATGACGTGGTTCTACCGATGATTGTTTTGTGTATAAATTGATACAAATGTAACATCCTGCAGGAATGGAGTGATGACCGGGTAATGAGTGAGTACATTTCACAATGATGAGCAGTGAAAGGACTGCTAAGTGATAGATGACATCGAGTTTATGAAGAAGTTCTCTGAAGAGCAGCAGCATGAGGTCTCACAGCAACTCTCACATGACCTGAAAACAAAGATTGTTCACCATCCTGGTTTAGGGGAAAGATACAGAAAGCTGTTTCAGAGATTTCAGCTGTCTGTTTCCACACTTAGGAACATGTTGAGGAAATGTAAGACCACAGTTCAAGTTAAGGCTCAAAGTGACAGACCAAGAAAAAATGAAGAATGGTGAGAACAGTCAGTCAACCCACACACCAGCATCAAAGACCTACAACATCATCTTGCTGCAGATGGAGTTACTGTGCATCGTTCAACTATTCGGTGCACTTTACACAAGGAGATGCTGTAATCAAGAGTGATGCAGAGGAAGGAAGCCTTTTCTCCGCCCACAGCACAAACAGAGCTGCTTGAAGTGCTAAAGCACATTTGGACACGCCAGCTTCATTCTGGAATAACATTCTGTCGATGAATAAGAACTAAAATTGAGTTATTTGGGCATAACAAGGGGCGTTATGCATGGTGGAAAAAGAACACAGCATTCCAAGAAAAACACCTGCTACCTACAGTAAAACATGGTGGTGGTTCCATCATGCTGTGGGGCGTGTGGCCAGTGCAGGGACTGGGAATCTTGTTAAAGTTGAGGGACACACGGATTCCACAGTAAATCCTATGAACTTCGCTTCACTTCTCAAATATTGTGTCTCCTATATGACATATTTAACTGAAACCTTTTCGTCATAACAACCAATGATTTATACGGGACATCATGGAGATTAACAAGTCTGCCCAAACTTTCGCATCCCAATTTATGTGTTGTTGTTTTGATTTTAGTGATTGTCTTTTCTTCCACAGCAGGAAACCGACACATTTTAAGGTTTAGCTTTAAGAATAAGAAGCCTGGGCCAGTTTAACCTGTTTCCAGTCATTAGTGAGAAGAGATAAAGTAACTCAATAACAAAACAAATCAACTGATTCATACTGTCAGATAAAAAAGTCTCATTTTATACAACTTATCCTCGAGGCACCATGTGAAGAAAATCTTTAAATTCATTACTGTCTGTTTGTTGTGAGTCTGGATGAAGCCAATCCTAAGCTGGTCTTGCTGAAACAACTTGTGTACCTGAAGCTGAGATGTTGTAGAGTTCCTCCATGTTCTTGTCTGCTTCACAAAGGAACCAGCTCCTTTCTGGATCTGTTCTGGTTCCCTGAGCTTCAGGCATCCTGAGATCTGTTCTGTTGCTTTGATTCTTCTGGGTGCAGATCTGCTCCCACGTTTCAGGAGCTGGACTCCAAAAACCATCACAGATGTCTTTTCTCATTTCTTCAGCTTTTCCAGGCCTCCTGTTGCTCTTTATCTTACAGAGTTGGTGAGTAAGGCAAAGGAAGTTTACCCTTGATGCTGTGAGGATGAGAATGGAGATCCAGATCAATCAGGAGAAGCAGAGAAGAGGATGTAAGGTCTAGCCCCCAGGTTGTAGCACCAGGGAGAAATGCTCTGAGAGAAGACAGCCAATAAACGAGGAAGGCAAACAGCATGAGTTTAAAAGTAAAGCTCTTAAAAACAACAACAAATTACACACAACTGTTAGTCATGGTTGGAGAAGGCTATGGTTGGACCTTATCTCCACAGAGACGTAACATGATATAATAAAGTTTACTTCCCTTCTTCCTTGTTAGGGCTTCAAATGGATCAGCAACATGAAACACAAAGTCCATCCGACGTTGCTCTGGATGACCCACCTGAGTGTGTTCTGAAGAACTCTGGGAGGCAGATGATGAAGGCGAGGATCACAAGAAGGATAAGTTTGATCAGCGAAGCTTTTGTCATGGCAACAAAACAAGGTCTTACACACACACACGCACACACACACACACACTGGCTCAAACTAACACACTCTTCACTTGTGTCTCTACTTCCACCTTCAGACACAGAAACGCATTCTTTCACATCATGCTTGGGTCCATTGGAGTCACTCTGGGAAGCAACAAGAAGCTCCCATGATTTTCTTCATGAAGACGAAGGCGACAGCGTGTGTGCAATCTACAAAGCAACTTCACTTCCTGGTGCACTTCCTGTAATTTTCTCAGAAAGAGTGAGAAATGGTGAGAAGCAGAGACAACAAAAGGTTCCTGTTGTCTGAATGTGAGTACCAGAAATGTTGTTTAGTGAGTGATGGCAAATCTGTTTGTCCAGTAAGAACTTTAATGATGTTTTCAGGAATTTATGTTTGACTTTGGACTCTTTACACAAAAGAGTAGTGGGTTAGGGTTGTGTGTATACAGTCATCACTAAGTGTGTGTTCCTTAATAACAGCACGTGTAAGGGCTGTTTGCTGGTCTGGGGCATACAGGCATGTGTTAACAAAATCACTGACATAAAGTTCACCTCTGGCTTAGCTGCAGATGGGTTTTACTCTAAGTGTGATCCATGAAAGCAATTAAGAAGGTTGAATGGTTTTGAGTGAAACAGACAAAGAGCAGAAACAAAGAGACGTTTGTTTTTAAACCATAAACATATTAAAGCAGAACGATGCCTCTCTGATCAGCTGAAACTTGTGTTTCATCTGCTGACAAAGTGAGGAAAAATACAACTTTTCACAATTAGAAAATTCAAATATATTCAAACTTATGGGGCAGCAGTAGCTCAGGTGGTAGAGCGGGTTGCCTCATGATCGGAGGGTCATGGGTTCGATTCCAGCTCCTGCCAGGAGTATCCTGCTGTTGTGTCCTTGGGCAAGACACTTCACCCAACTTGCCTGTGTTAGTGGTGGTCAGAGGGGCCGACGGCGCCAAATGGCAGCCTCGCCTCTGTCAGACCTCCCCAGGGCGGCTGTGGCTACAAGTAGCTTACCATCACTAGGAGTGTGCGAATGTGAGAGTGTGTGAAAGCGTCTTTGGGGGTCTAGAAAAGCGCTATATAAGTTCAATGCATTATTATTATTATTATTATTATTATTATTATGTAACAGAGTCACTTTTAGATCAGAGAAATCTGACTTAATATATTAAATCCAGGAATCTGTTGATTGAGTTTTGACCACATTTAGAATAATAATGTCTCCAAAATAGATGTGATGGATGAAGCATGTTCAAATTAAGCAAGGTTATGACACAGAAAAACACACACACACACACACACACACACACACACACACACACACACACACAGATATACTCGGTCAGCCCCATAAACACAGTGATTCGTGTGTTTGACAGCTGGAGTCTTATCTCTCTTCCACAGCAGCTTGCTGCTCTCAAGACTCATGAAGGAGGACACAAGCTGCCAAAGAAAACAATGAGAAGTGTTGTTAAAATTAGCTAGTCACCGCTTAGTGAGGTGATTTTGAGCAGGAGACTCATTATATTTTACACTTTATTTTATCATATTTTATGCGATTTATTTGGGATGAATTTTTTCATTCTTTAATTTTCTATACAGGGAAATAAGCACCTTCATTCATTTTAAAATAAAATGTAGTCATTTCTTTGTATGACCAAATTATATTATATTATATTACATTACATTACATTACATTATATTACATTACATTACATTACATTACATTATATTATATTATATTATATTATATTATATTATATTATATTATATTATATTACATTACATTACATTACATTATATACTGTATATAATATATTTGTATGGATACACAGCAAAGGGTTTGAGAAAATAAACTGCAAGAAATTACTCTCAACGGATGTTTCTATTGTTGTGGTCAGAAGTTAGCCTGGCTCTGGAGATCACTAGTTCAATCTAAGGTTTGTTTGTTTGTTTAAAGATGTAAAAATTGTACAACATATGTTTTCACCTGAAAACAGATATCCTCCAGAATCAGAGGAGAAGTTTGCTGGTGACTAAAAAACATGTGGTCATGTGTAGTGTTTTATTTGTGCTTGTGTGTGTGTGTGTATGCCTGCCTCGTAACAGAAGGTTGGTGGTTCGAGCCCCGCTCAGTCTGTCACAGTTGTCTTGGGCAAGACATTTAACCTACCCTGCCTGCTGGTGGTGTTCGGAGGGACAGGTGGCACCAGTGTTCATCATCATACCATACATCAAAGGCATAACAGAAAAAATAAGAGCAACAATGAAAAAACACAACATAAACAAAACCATACTCAACAGTTAGAAACAGACTAGTACACCCAAAAGACAAGATACCAGCTGGATGTGAATGTGGAGTCGTTTACAAAATCCCATGCAAACTCTGCAATAAAACATACATAGGAGAAACCGGATGCCAACTCAACACACGAACAATCGAACATAGAAAGGAGCGCGAGAGAGAAACCAGTCAAAAACACTCAAGAGCAGCAAAACAAGAAGCAGAAAGTACAACAAAGAAGTCAGCCGTAACAGACCACTGCACAAGAGAAAACCATGTAATGGACTGGGACAACACAAGGATCATAAACACCGAACAACAGAAATACAAAAGATGGATAACAGAAGCTATAGAGATAAGGAGATGTGGATGTGGGACCATGAACAGAGACGATGGAGTTTACTCGTTGGACCGTGCATGGGACTGCATCATCGGAGAGGGGAGAGCGGGCAGCAGAGGGCGACAACGTCCTCTGCTGCCCGCAGATAAACGGAGAAGGAAGTGACGCCACCATCAGCGTCAGCTCTGAAGATGTTCGCAGCCGCAAACGAAACTGTCAGCAGCAAGGTAAAGAGAAACTTTTCCTGTGTTTAAAAAAGAACCAAAAATGGAATTGGAAGACAAACCCAGCAAGAACGTACAAAAGATGAGTGAAAGGGCGTTGTGTTGTAAGGCACTTTTGGGGGTTGTCGAACTCTAAGGCACTATTTCAAATACAGACCATTTACCAAGTTTGTTTTATAATTACTCCATCGGGGAGTCAAAGGGTTTAAATGAGTCAGCAAATGCTGAAAATGAATGACATTCATGCTCAAGATGAGTGCAGTTATTTTTAATATTAAAAAGAAAAAACTTGTATCAGATGAAGCAGATAGGAAGAGATGCAGGCCAGCAGTGATTCCTGATATCAGCACAAGCTGGAGGCCAGAAGCTGCTTTGCTGCTCTGAGTGTCAGAAATTTAATTTGTCATAACTGCAGTTGATTAAATGACAACTCAACTCTCTTCCAGGCAGTGAATTAAGTTTATTTTATAGATAGAAATGCTCCCAAGAGCTGGATTAGACTGTTTTTAATACTCAGAGTGCTCTTCTGAAGGTAGACATTGCAGCAGCATTAAAGTTCTCATAAACATTGTCGTTTATCGACTGTGTCCACCGACTGATGATTAAGAAGTTTTATTTCATCATTTGCTGAACTTTTGGAAGAGTTCATGAACTCCCTGACCCCAGAAGTGAATTACAGAACATAGCTTACAACAAACACTCGCTTTGGACTTTTGATTTGATTTAAACATTTATATTTACTCATGAGGTTAAACGGGTGTTTTGTTTTAAAGTGATCTGTCTTGTTCAGCTAACACTACACATCTATCACCTCTACCGTGTGTGTGTGTGTGTGTGTATGTGTGTGTGTGTGTGTGTGTGTGTGTGTGAGTGTGTGTGTGTGTGTGTGTGTGTGTGTGTGTGTGTGTGTGTGTGTGTGTGTGTGTGTGTGTGTGTGTGTGTGTGTGTGTGTGAGTGACTCTGTACACTGTTAGACTTTGCTGGCATTTGCTAGTATATTACTGTAAAATCAACAGTAAAATACCTCTAAAAGTGTTTGCAGTGTAGTACTGTAATTTCCATGCACTGTTAGACTGTGCTGTCATTCCTATAGTATATTACTGTAAAATCAACAGTAAAATACCTCTAAAAGTGTTTGCAGTGTAGTACTGTAATTTCCATGCACTGTTAGACTGTGCTGTCATTCCTATAGTATATTACTGTAAAATCAACAGTAAAATACAGCTAAAATCTTTGCAGTGTAGTACTGTATTTGGCATGTAATGGTGAGTAAATTCAACAACATCACATATTTTTCATGGTATGTCACTGTTTTAAAGAAAACAGGTAAAGTACAGCAAACATAAAAATTTGGTATACCTCTGACATTTTTCTGTCTGTGGTTTTTCAGTGGACATTTTAAAACACCTTGCTCAAATCTTCATTCAGAGTGCATTACCAAAACAATTCTTTGTGAGATCACCAATGAAAAAACACTATGCCCCATAGTAAAGAGAAAATGCTCCAAGAATAAATGTTTTAATTGAGCTATTATAAAAGCATACAGTATGTAAACACTCACTAAAATCTGTTTTAAAATATTTTAATTATAATATAAAAAAAGATTGGATGCTTTAACCAAGCCTACATTGTAAATAAAAAAATCATCTCAGATTGATAAAATCATATTTAAGCTATACTATTAGTCCTACTGCCTAAATGACATCTGCCTGGTGGGCGATTTAAACTGATAAATGTTTACAGAATTTTATCAAAAAACTGACATGATACCAGTTTACGACTTTATACTTGTAAGAAATTTTATTTAAAATATTCCATAAAATATTGATCATTTCAAAATTCCATCAGTTGTTTTTTTGCATGTTTTCATAGCAATATTATAGGATAATTACAGCCACCAAAATTATGCTGTTGTCCATCTATTGTGTTCACTATAGATGTAACAAAAAATTCAGACAGCTATAGATGGAATCTTGAGGAAATGGGCCAAGGACGAACTCATCAAAGGTATTTTCCACCCCTAGGTATGTTTTATGTTGTTGGGTTTCCCAGAATTAGATAAGTGAAAAATAATTCATCACTTCCACCTGATACAACCTGGATATTTGCTTTCAAAACAACAACATTGGAAACACAATATATGATCGTTGTCTTGCACTTTGAGGAAAAGAAGAAATAAAAACATTTTCCAAACATGTATCCCGAATGTGACCCATTACAGGGGAGTTGGTCAGTCTGGTAAGTATTTTACTGCATGTTTTGGCTTTTAAACTAGCTATAGCTGTGATCTTCATGCAAATTCTGCAAAATGGTCCCTGTCCATATATGTGTAAACACCTTATTGAAGTTACCCGATTGTTTTAAAAACTGACAAACAAGGTGATTAATT